ACGTGGAACGGGCGGAAAATGGCCGTGAACCACGTGGAACGGGCGGAAAATGGCCGCGGATCCGGTTCATAAGTTGAGGCGAGTTCGTAAGTAGAGGCAAATTTTTGGGGCCGGAGCTAGTCGTATCTCGAAAAATTCGTAAGTAGGGGCGTTCGTAAGTAGAGGTACCACTGTATACTGTAGATATGCTGGGAAAGGGGGGGGCAAAGTTTACTGACAACAAATTTAAGTATCCAAAAGGATTCAGATTAATCAAATATGGACCTTAGATTTTAGAAATGAGATTTCAAAAGCCCAGAAATACGTTCAGTGGGGTTCTATAGCTGAAATTCTGAAAGTGAAAACAGGCTTGGCAAATTATGAAAAACAAAATATAGTGATGCCCAATCTTTTTTGTGAGTTCTTTGGCTATGGTACAAAATTTACAAAGGCTATGTAACTAACTTACAAAACAGCTTGGACATCTCACAGAGGGGAGTGAATATTCTATCAACTTCCCACTACAGTGTCTCCAGAAAATCAAAAACCTAAAAATAGAAGAAGATAAAATTATGGTTTCCTTCAATGTCACAGCACTCTTTAAGTCCATAGATCCAGAACTAGCAAAAGAATCTATGGCAACAGTACTACATAACACACCTGACCCAGCCAAATACACTAAGATCGAAATACCCAGAATCATGGACCTCATCAACCTCTGCCTGATTACCTACCTTCAATTTGAAGGTCAGATATACCAACAAATCAGGGGAACACCTACAGGATCACCACTCTCAGGACTCATAGCTGAGACAGTAATGCAGCATCTAGAAACCATAACACTCTCACACACACAACCAAAACTATGGATCTAATATGTAGACAACACCTTTGTCATAATAAAAAAGGAACAACTAGAGAAGATATACAAAACAACCAACAACATCTTCAGAGGAATAACATTCACAAGAGAAGAAGAAAACAACACACTCTCCTTCCTGGATATGCTCATCAGCAGAGGAAACGATGGCAAATTAGAAACTCAAGCCTATCAAAAAACAGCCCACACTAACCAAGTGCTCCATTACCAAAGTAACAACCCAACTTCCCACAAGAGGAGCTGTGTAAGAACATTATTCAGATGAGTACAAATGTACATCCGGAACATCAGAAAAAGGAAACAGACTGCCTATACAATATCTTCCAAAAAAATGGATGCTCACACAATTTTATCAAAAAGTGCCTGACCATGCAACCCACTACAGCACAACCAACACAAGCTATGAAAAGGATAACACTGCCATACATCAAAAACATCTCAGAAACAACCAACAGACTATTACAATCAAGGAACTACCAAGGAGAAAAATCACACCAAAACTGGCAGGGCAAGCTACGGTATATAAACAGGGAGCACACCCCACATTCACCCGCACTGATGATGTTACCTAGTTGGGTAATGAAACATCTGCAAGCAAACAACCAAGGACTCCACATTTTGGGATATGTAACATATTCTTGGGATGCACTTAAGGCCAGCTTTGTATGTCCTCAACCATTTCTGTGCATGTGAAAAATGCCCCTAATTCATTTGAAATGAGTAAATTTTGAATGATGATATGGTGTCCCTATTGTGCTACAACCTTGATGTCTTTTAGAGTCTATGGGAGTGGGTAGCGGTAATCAAGTTTAATAATAATAATACAATAATAATAATTAAGTATAATAATAATTATAATTAATTATAATAATTAATAATTATTATTAATAATAATTACAATAATAATAGTACAATAATAGATGGATAATGTACTGACACATACACCAGAAAGTATGGTGTTAGGAGGTTATTGCTGTAGTACAATGTGTGGAGTTAGACTGTTATTTTTTAAAGCATTGTGCACTCCTTGCTTGATATTTTGTCCTTCAACCTCTGCAATTCATTATATTTTCCAGATGTGCACATGAATCTTTCAGCTTCACTATTTGCCTGTGGGGAATGAATCACCACACACCAGTGATAAGAACCCTAATAATAGGGATAACTTGAGAGGCATAGAGCATGATTCTTACAAATAAATTTGGATTTCACTGCTTCTATATGTTTTTATAAGGACCTAGAGCAAACCTGGATTCACCAGGAACAGTTCAATTGCTATAGAAACAAAATTAGACTTACATATCTAATTATTCCATTTGTGACCCCTCTATGCATGAGATCAGATTTTGAGAATTTGTTGATTCCGTGTTTAAAACTCTACTTTGTACCGTTAATATTGTTGTATGCTGAGGATAAAATGAGCAGTAACTGTTATTCTGTTATTCTGCCTGCATATTCAGATTTAAAAACCAAAAATGGTGTAGCTCTGGAAGAAATGATATCTTGGCAAATCATTATTTTCTCACTACTGATACAGTATTCTCAATAGTCCAACAGTGAACCCTAATCAACTTGATACTGCATGATTATGTCATTATGTGTCATCATTTGCCCCACATGGAAGACGACAACAATTCTATCCACTCTTTTCAGAAAATCTGCCCATTTGCCAGGCTGAACTGTGGCTTACTCAGCTTGTAAAAAGTGGCTTCTGGTATCTGTTCTAAAATATTTTTTCCAGATTTCCCCCCCTTTTTTTCCTTCCCTGTCTAGCCTAAACTATCAGGATTATGAACCAGGTTTGAGTTCATTTATTTTTTTCAAAAATAGTGAATGTTTCAATGTGTCAGCTAACCAGCCAAAGCATTAGAGTTATTGAATTAAATAGGGCAGGAAATTTAGGGTTAGGTGATAACTCTTCATTGAAAGGCAGTGTGTTCTGTTTGTGGTTTATTGAAGGCATCTGTTATGTCACCATGAACACAATCCTGAACTAGATTTAGCCAATTAGAGCAGTGACTGTGGTTTCATACCTCAGACCCACATCTAAATATAAATCATCTGGGTGATCTGCCAGGAAAAGTAAGGAGTGCTGTAGAACATAGTGGGCACTGGGTTGGGCAGGAAAGAGGAGACATAAGGCAAGTTATTGTCATGGCTGAATTGTGTTTTATCAACACAAGTCTGGGAAGGGAATGTTTTCCTACTTCCTATTGTAAAATAAGGTTTATCTTTAACTTACAAAATGTTGCCGGAAACATGACTTGCTGAAAGAGGAACAAGTGATGACATTGAGATCAAGGAAGCTGATTAAAAGGAAACTTGCATACGAAATTCCGTTTAGAAGGGAACACAGCAGTTACTGCTTCTGATAGGAAGGTAAGATTTTTCATTCAGAAAATAATCCTTTTTCAAATTACAGTTTCTCAGATACTCTACTTCAAAGAATATTTAAGCATTTTTTTTGAATTTGGCAAATAATACGTACATATTTATTTCCTTTCCTTTGAATGCCTTGTTCTAATTTTAATTTAACTATTGCTTTTATTTGAATGTAACTAGTTGGCTTAAAAAAAAACCCTTCAGACTTGTTTCAACAAGGATGTCTATAAATCTGTACCTCCACTCAGTTAATAAGTTCCCTGTGTTAATTGGTTTAGGCTACTGTATTAGCTTTCATTTCATGAGACACAAGTTGTGTTGTACCAAATCAGATCTATTTCAGGATGATGTAGGATGAAAGCCTTAATGGAAGGCTTTCATCCTTCATCTGGAAAACATCTGGAAAATGACAAACTAAGGAACAACTACCAACAGCTCCCAGGATTTTAGACAAGGTGCCTTTCCCAGCTCTATCCAGGGAAAGTGAAGTTGGCAATTAACTTAGTATTGTTTTCATGTACAACATGTACTTTATCCTTGAGCTCTTCTTGTTCCTCTGTGCTATTTCTCTGTTGATTTATTTCCTTTCTACCCAAGTGCTTTATGTTGAAATTGGGTTGGAGAGATAATGATTGTCCCAAAGTTGACCAATGAACTTCATGCTTCGCTTGAACCTGGGCTTGCCTTATCTCAGTCCAATATTACCCACTTCATACATTGACTACGGCAGTGTTTTTTTTATAAGCTTTGCATTGGAGAATGTTGGGTGTAATAGCAGTAATTTCTTGATAGACAGAGTGTTTACCTATTACTAGTATCAGTCTTACTTTGCAGTACTGTATGCAGTATGTATACAAAACTCTAGTGGCTGGACTGAAATGACCCGCCTCATTTTATCATACTGTTATGACACAATAAATAGAAACTGTCACTTTTAAAAAATGAAAGTTCTATCTATGGAAATATGGCCCTTAAAGAGAGTATCCTCCAAGGAAACAGGGCTGAGGCCCCAAAACTCTGCTATGCTGGGGTGGGCATAGAAAGATCTTCTGTGCCATCTTTTGGGAACCTGGAAGTGTGCCTTCTCTGTAGCAGCACCTGCCCTCTGGAATAAGGTTCCCCCAGATTCGAATGGCCTCCATCCTACTAGGGTTTTGAAGGGCTCTGAAGACCTGGCTCTTCGCCCAGGCCTTTGACAAGGACGATTGACGCCCCTTTTCTTCCCTTCCCTTGTTCCCATCCTGATTTGTTTTCTTTGCTATCTTTGCTTCTTTGTTTTGTGTTTCTTGCATTATTACTTGTTTTTAAATGTTTTTAACAATTTGTAAACCACCCAGAGTTTCTGAGAGTTGGGCAGCATATAAATTTAAATAATAACAATAATAATAATTTCACAGAAATAAAGGAGGAGAATATATAATATAATCCCTTATTTACAGCAGTTTTTTTCAATAAAAATGACTGTGTCAGTTGTAGCTCTGTGCATCTTACAAGGCACCCATTTAAAGAAAGTGTTTTAGAAGAAGTCCCTTCCCATAAAATAAGCATAAAATAAGTGACAAAGGATTTCTGCTTACCTTGATACACTTTCCATGGAGCTTCTGTCTGGAAGAAAGTATTTTCAGGTAACCATCTTTATTTGATTATTTCACAGTTATGAAAAAAGTTTTAAGGATGATGCCTACCATGGGAGCTCACTGCCAAAGACTCAGCACTGCAGAAATGAAATCTTGGAGAAAAATGCTTATTTTCTTCTGGTGCTTTCTGTTCGTGATAAGAGCAGAAGCTGGTGACATTACTGGTAAGCTATGTCAGTACACTTACTGCAAATGCTTGTTGCTTGAAGTCTCCTTCCCAGCTTTCATATAAGGAATTGTGTTTTGAAGGTATTCTCCTACATAAAGTTTGACTATGTATCTTCCACAGAGGCAGATTTTCATGATTTCTAAATAAGGAGGGCTTCATAGGTTAGTGGGCAGGAATATAAATATTTCTTGGTCACTAGAAAAGTCTATTGTGCATTTCAATGGACAATATGAGGCTTTTCAAGAAATACATACATTCTGGTCCATTAGGCACCCTTCATAATTCATAATTCCATCCACTCCTGAATCAGTCTTGAATAACAAACATGGGTTATCTTTTTGCTAAATGTGTTATCATACACTTTGGTCAGCTTCTGATGATAAAAAGATTCCAACTCAAAGATTCCATACAAAGAACACACTTCATATGAAAAAAGATTCTAGGTTCAGTTCCCAACATCTCCTGATCATTCTGGAAGTTCCTGTTGGAAACCCTGGAGAACTGTTATCAGTCATTGCTGATTCTACTGAGGTTGATGGATCAACATGTCTTTAACATATGTTGAGTCTATGTAATCTTTGAACTGCTGCTGAATCAGCTAGAGACCTCCATGATCTTACCCCATCATTTGTGTTCAACAACTCAGCCAATTTATTTCTGACTCAGATGTGGTACATTTGAAACTGCAGTAAAACTAGTTTTTTCTTTGAAATGCTGCTGCTCTGTAAAGTATGTGGGGAGTCCATTTCCTCATTTGCATGAACTTGGGCCTCAACCCTGCTCTTGGTAACAGGTTTTTAGCTCTTCAAATAGATCTACTGGGGAAATGGTGGGTTTTGGGCTTCCCCTGATAGGATTTTTTTCTTTTTCTTTTATATGCAAACCAGACAAATCCACACAGTATGAAATAAGGTATATGTGTGCTTGTGTGTATGTATGTGTGCAAGCGATTTCTTTTCTTTTCCTGTGGAGTGAGGATAAGTGGACTTCTGTTATTTCAGGACTGTGGAAGCTTGGGACATACAGTGTCTCAATGTTTTGAGATCAGAGGTCTTCATGGAATGTCTTCATACTATTTTTGAGGAACTGAGGAATGGAAGTGATGGCACTGTGGAGATGTTCTCAGTCAAAGGCAGCTTCTTATGTTGATAATGGCACACTAAGAGACAGATCTGAGGCCTTCTAATTATTAACTGAGAACCTGATTCCTTCTCAAAAGCAAAGACCTACATATAAACCTGCATGCTTGTGATAACTAAAACAATTGTGTCCTCCTTTTTAAATAGCATGGACTCTTTTATTCTTTTCAGGATGCCCTAGAAGGCATACTGATGTGAGGTACCAGGCCATCAGCAACCAGAAATTTGTTGTATCATGTGACCTTCCATCTGAAGACACCACATCAATTTACAACCATTCTTCTCTTTATGAAAATCAGATGAAGTGGTTCTGGCAATCTAGTGATGGAGGAGCCACTATGATTCTTAATAATAAAACCACCAATCCTACTCCTTGGGGGAACTCACTTTGGTTTAACCCAATAAAAACTGAACATTCTGGAACATACATGTGTATGAAAAGGTTGGTTGCTGTGACCAAGCTTCTTTGCTACTGTTTTTGCCATCCTAATAATAATTTCTTAATTACTTTGAAGGTAATTAGTGGGATGGGAAGGAAGAGGTTTAAGCATGAAAATCTTTATTTCCAAAACAACTGGGAATTAATGGTGCTTAATTGGGGTAGATCATGTCTTTAAATGCCATCCAGAGTCACTTTGTATGAGATGAGTGGCTATATAAATTTGGTAAATAAATAAATAAAATTATATCCTACACTCCTGCCCCCAAGAGTTCTCAAACACCTTCCTTGTGCATTCCATAATTCAATATTCAATTATTTAACCATTTTAATTGTGTCAATAGACCTAAATTCTACAGTAAATAGCAATCTATCCTTTTATTTTATTTTGATATATTCTTGGCTAATTCTTTTGAATTTTTTTTTAAATTTAAACAACATTTTATGTTGTTTTCATGTTATACATAATTCAGAAAAAGAATGGAAACTAATACAAGTAAACCTGGATGCTATATAGTGTTATCATTGCCACATAACTGCATGAATGATATGATCATGTATTATATTATTTTTGAAATCAGAGAAACGGGATAAATTAAGCCAGGATATAAAACTATCCAACGTGGACTGAACAGGAATTTTTACTCAAGCAACTGGGAGGTTCACAATCCCCATATAGTTTTGACCCATATTCAGTCTACAAGCCTCTGTATCATTATAACTATAGCACTTTTTCCAATATTTTAAAAAATCATTTCAATTTCTATAATGTACTCAATTTGGTTTTTTCCCCTCTTCCACAAAATCAGGTTCTCTCTGGATAATTTCTCCTCAACTTTCTTTTTGTGTCACACAGGGATAATATATCACCATGTGTCAATATTTTAATAGCTGTTCAAACAAAAATTATGGCTAATTGTTCAGATAACAGACGAAATGACATTTACCTATTTGTGGAACAAGGAACATCTATAGATTGCCCTGGGAAAAAATGTTACTCTAATTCTGCACAATCATCAGTGAAATGGTACAAGGTAAGGTTTTTTTCTTTTTTTAAAAAAGTAAAAACTCCCTGAGTCCAGTTCAACTGTTGTACATTTCAGACATTTTCAAATAGTTTTGATTTGTTTGAACAACAATTGATAGATGGTTTGTCCCTACTTCTACTGGAATATTTTTTTATCTCCCAATCTAGCCTTTGTCCTAATACTCCCTGGGATCTTGAAAATCTAAGCAAGGTTGGATCTTGTTAGTACTTGGATGTGGATCTAAGTTTAGCCAAAGTCAGGTAGGTGCTGCTACTGTTTGAGGAAATACAACGGGCATGTTGGTTTTAATTGCTGTTGGAAAGGTGGGGTGGGTGCAGAAGGCTTGGGTTTCATGTAGAACAGTATTTCACAATCTGGTACTCTTTGGCTATGTTGGATCATAATTTCTACAATTCCCAGTCAGCATGGCCAAAACCAACATGGGGTTCATAAGAATTGGAATACAAAATATCTGGAGTGCACCAGTCCAGGGAAGGCTGTTGTAGAGCTGCAAATTAAAAGGCTTTTTCACCTAAAGTTCTTTGTCACTCCCTTCATGGCTGATAATCATGATAGTTCTGTAATTCACCTGAGGATCAGAAATCATACTCTTATGAAATCCAGTTGCTATGAAGTACAAAGGGAGCAAGTTATTGCCCTTGTGCCTCTCTGTAGGTTTCTTCGTCCACAGGCAATCCTCAAAAATTCATTTCATACCACTACCAACAGTTGGAGAGTGTGAAAATAAATGTTTGGGCTACTGGTGCTGTTCTTCTCCTTCTCCTTCTCCTATACTTTTTATTAAAGATGTTTTTCCACAAAGTAAAAACAATGCAAATTTCAAGTTAACAGAAATAGAGAAAAGTAATAGAAAAGTGAAAAAGAAATAAAGAAAAAGAGAGAGAAAAGAAGGAAAAAGAAAGAAAGAAAGAAAGAAAGAAAGAAAGAAAGAAAGAAAGAAAGAAAGA